CATGTAGAAATATTATTGTATGAATGTGTGGTTGAAAATTAAAACGAAAAATAAATAATTTTGAAATAATAGTTGCCAAACATGGTCTAATGAATAACTTATCTTGCGAATAAGAAACACGTGGATGGTGATTAAGTAAAAGAGTCTTCTAGTTCTTTAGGGAATGTCCATATGAGTTATTAATTATTTGACGCATTATTATTGCTTATGGGTATCCAAATAAATCATACCAAAGTATAAATTTTTTGGATCAACAAACTTCGAGTTCGTGATAATGTTTGATTCAATCATCTTTAAGGATACATAATACATCCGAGAGGAGAGTGTTAAGAGTTTCTCTTTTATTTACTTCTGACCAGATACAAAATAAGTTATGAAAATATATCAAAGATCATGCCAGAGGGGAGTGTCATGTGTTTCTCTTTTATTTATTTCTAGTCAAATACAAAAGAAGTTATAAAAAGTTATCAAATATCATTTTCTTGCATTGTCTCAATGTAATATATATTTATTGGAGCGGATATCTTTATAATTAAGCAAATGTTTCTGAAATTGAATAAAATGCAAAATCAATATATCACTTTTTATTAATTTGTAAGATAATAATATCTCTTTTGGAGCATTCAACGATATTTGACGCATCTGATATCTTATTAATATTATTTTATGTTACTGTTAAGTTCAAAAATAATAATTTTTGTCTTGAATAACTATGCGTAGTTGTGCACACATCTTGATTATTCATCTTAAATCCTATTAATATATCAAGGTTTATGTTTCTTGCAATAATAAAAATATTTTTCGAAAATATTGAAACCCATGCTTTTCAAGATTAATAACTAAAATATTCTTCTTGTATATTAACATAAGTTGTTTTTCTTCAATTTTTGCATATTTAGGAACACAACGATCTATATATATATATATATATACACACACACACACACACACACACACACTTTACTAAAAGAAAAAAAAAAGCCCATACAATGTCGCGACTCGTGAGGGACATTTTTAACAATATCCCTATTTCTCAAATTCCATTGAAATAGATGCAGACTATCTTAAAGTTTTTGCAGGAGAAGAGAATGACCTCTAGACTATCTTTTTCCAACCTATGGCCTTTTTCAAAGAGGGGTTAATATCAGATCAAGATAGAAAAGAATTACTAAGAACATTAAAGACTGCCATATTCGGTGCTATATATTTAAATTTTCCATTTTAGTTGATTGATCTGTCACTCAATACATGACAACGGCCCAAATTCGATCCAAACTTGGCCCGTAAAATAAGAAAATAAACTGCCACGAACCCGGACGTTATCAAAATTTCCTAATTCTTTCAATTTCAAACCCTAGCTCTGCTTTATTGGAGAAACTAATTTTCAGTAATGGAGAGGCCAAATTTCAGTCTGCAATAATCAATGCAAATACTAAGGTAACGTTAATTCCTAATCCTCTAAGGGTCCGTTTGACTGCAATAATGTAATTTGGTGGAAAGAAAATGAATTTCAGGGAATTGAATTGCCTAAAACTTGTTTTATTGAGAATTGTCAATTAATTGTGTTTGATTGGTATAATTTTTCACTTGAAAAATATTAAAATTTTGGATCTTTTGAGGTTCGTTTAACTTTGTTTTCCATGGAAATTATCCATTAAAATGATAGAATTTGTTACAAGTGGGGATATAATTTGTTTTCGTTGTCCAAAAAAATTTTTTTAAAAAAAAGTTACCTAGAAAAGTTTTTTCCACCGAATCCATGTGAAAAGCTTTTTCTAAAAAATCAAGAAAATATGAAAAACCAATTCCATGGAAAATTTAGTCGATCAAATATGCAAAAATGTGGAAATAAATTTTAATTTCCATCTTCCATGAAAAAGAAAGCCAAATCAAATAGGGCCTAAATGTTAACTTATTTTCATCTCATTAGAGGATTTGTTTATTTTGTTAAGAAATGATCGAAACGAAATTGATAATGTCTTACCTTTAATTTTGATGCTGCTGTATGTAGATTGAGTTAGCAGTGTTTGAATTACTTGTATGTTTTTTCTGTTCGTTCTTCTTGTATGGGAACAACTTAAATAAACTACTGATGGAGTAGCTATTTGAGGTTAATTTTTGAATGTTTTGTTAATTTGCATTCTAAGCATTTGATTATTGAGTTAATGACCTTTTTTTTTTTCCTAGAAATGCTTTCTTCGGTTTTCTTCTTTGATGCGTACATGCTACTTTTAACCATCTTTTTTAAATACTTAAGTTGTCAAAGAGGAGTCACGAACTTGTGAACAAGAATTTTTTTTTTTCCCGATCAAAGGCTTGACACGTGCTTAATTTTTCTTAAATATGTTGTGATGAGATTTGATCCCAATTTAACAGAAATTGGTATAGAAAATTGGTTTTGACTAATAATTTAAGTAAAAGCGTTAGTTGGTTAATGAGAAATTTAGGCTAAATTTAAGCCACTTAAATTGTTGGAAATTGTTGAAAAATTATGTAGAATTTTATGGATTATTCTATAACCTATTTGGATGAAAAGATATTTCTTTTCATAATCTTTTCATTGTAGAGACTATTTTCCAAAATGATATGTCTTTTCCTTGAGCTGTCCTTTTTAAGACATAACTTTTGGATCAGTTATCAGTATATATAGACACCCCAATTTTTGAAATTTTCTTTCAAATAATTTATCATTGCATTATCATATTGATGCATATTCATTTCAAAATATTTTTTTGTTATATTTTGAGTTGAGTTTTATAATAAGAGAGTTCAAAACATCAATACGTCTATATAATTTGGATCTAATGCGAAACGTGTTCATTGTATTTTGGGAGATGAATATCGAAAAACCGTTAGCATCCGTGCGATGTATTATCGTCTTAAGGAGAATGAGTTAAACTTTAGCCTCTATTGAATTCATATTCATGCATTTTTTTTGTTTCTACTCTACGTGTTTGCTTTTAGCAAGTCGAAATTCTAATCCATTTTACAAACGTAAGATGTTAGTTATCAAAATATAATTTATGCACAATACATTTTTCCAACAATTTCTTTGCTTGACTCTTGTATTGTGTTGAACTATCATCTAGCTAAACAATCAAGATTTGCAAACGAATTCATTTAAATCTTGTGTTTCACAATTGCATCTTCATTTTCTTACTTGATAATTGTATTTACGAAAAATTTTCAATTTGCTTCTGTGACTAGATATTTTATGATTTCTAATGTCACGTAAATTGTTTTACTTTGTGACATTGCTGACTTCATTTAGTGATGTATAATGCATGGATTCTTCTTTTTCGTTTCTCAGTTACTCAAAATGCACAAAAAAGGTTTAAGCAAATCTTGGAGTCGTGTGGATGCAAATTTTGTTGACGTCTAAAAAGTTAATTGAAATTCAAAATATTTCCTTTTAATAGCTCTATGAAACAATACAACTACAATCAAAGAACTTGCCAGGATTAACAATAGATCGTGCCTTGTGCAACGTTACAAAATCTTTTGTCACCTGGTTGCATGTTAACCAAGGAAACAAATACAAGAAGAAAAAGAAAAACTAGTCCCCAATGTAGGGAAGTAACCATAAAACTCGTATGTTATGACCATAAAACTAGTCCACAATTGTTGAATTTTGTCTCAGGCGCCCTTCGTTGATGCTATTAACAGAGGGGTAGATCTGCAGGAGGTGGCTCTAATGTTTGAAGTTCTCCAACTCCATTTTCCACCAAGAAAGCCATTGCCAAACCCCAGGTGACATGAACATACAACTGACAGTGCATTAACCATACTCCTATTTAACACATTTATTTGACAAATATGAGAAAAATGACATATTAAAAAAATGAATATGAGTATGATTATTTATGTTAGTTCTCACCTGGATTATCTGCGACAAATCTAATCACGCTCCATCCACCAACAGGTACACTAGCCGTATTTCGTTGTGGTGGATCAACGAGATTGAATTTGGCTGTATCTCTTTGTGGATTGAAATTTCCAAATCCTTCAGCAAGGATATAGAAGTCATATCCATGGAGATGAATAGGGTGGTTCTCAGCTGTGAAGATACTTGTTCCCTGCAACACTATTTGAACTCTTGCTCCATACTTTAATCTGTACACCTTAGTCCCACGGGCGGGTTGCCACAGTGACCGACTTACATTACCAGTATAATCAAATTTCCTAGGGGGATTTGCTGGAAAATCGGTTGTGAACACTCCAGGTATACGCTGTTGATGTGCCTGCAATAGGGAAAAGTTGGATGGAAGCACAAAAGATACGTTGTTCATGCCGGCAGTGCATCGAGTCCCATTTGGTCCTTGACAATTTCTACGTCTAGCGCCACTGGGGCAATTGTTGAGTCCTAAACCAACTGTAATG